TAGATCTTCTGACTTAATCTCTGTAGATTCAAAACTCATTATAATTCCTTCCTCACTACTATTTAGCATACTCTTTATGCTACTTGTCTCTTGCGCATTTAATAATTTACGAATATCTTCAGATTCCTTCTCCATGAAGAAAATCTCAACTGCTATTTTGTTCTTATTTGAGAGTTTGCTGTTTAGATACTCGATCTCTTGAGTGATAATTGATTTGTTGTTGCTACTCGAATTCTTTGTTTCAGCTTCTTTAGCTATTTCTGTATTAGTAATTGGTATTTTAACTTCTAGCTTTGGCTGTATTATGCTATTTGCATCTTGATTCATATCTTTCACTGTTAAATCTTCTATTATATTTTGCATATTACTTTCTTTCTGATTTGCTATACTTTTTTTAGACTCTTCTAACAGACGTAGCTCTCATTCTAATTCCATAAATGCATCATTTAGGAGCTCTTTGCCCTCTTCTATGATTATTCTCTTTATTATTTTGCACCAATTTCTAGTTACCGTAATTACTTTGGTACTAATACCTGTAATTCTTGATATATACTCATCGATTTGCTCATGATGTCTTTCCATTTCCTCAATTATGCTAGTTATCTTTTGAGGTTCTTCTTCCTTAAGCAGAGCTTTAATACTTGCTACCTTCTTAGATTTCATTTCACTCATATTCAAAGTGACTTCGGTATTTTCTCAAAAATCCCTGAGATATTTCCTAATTGCCTGCGTTCTGTCCGGTTTTCGACTTGTGTACTTCTATTCTATTGGCTTGCACATGACGCGTCTAATTAGTAGTCTCTACACGTGAAGATTGTTTACCTTGTTTGTTTTGAGTTTGGTGTAACATAGAATGATCTACGATACAGAGTAAGTTACAATTCCCACTTTTTCTACAAAATTTTCGAGATTTCTGCGAAAACCTTACTATCTGCTAAGTAAGTCTAGTAGTTCCCAAGAATTTGTCTTTACTATATGTAATTTTGTGTGCTCTATCTTTTTCCTTAGTACAACTTAAGTTGTTTCTTATTGTAGTTTATTAGATATCTATGTTTTTGCTTTAGCACAAAATTTGGTAAAATGATCTACGGGAAAGAGTTGACTTTTGTATGCTGATTTTGAATATTTGCCTCCTACCAATTCTAAATATCAAATTGCAACTAAAGATTCTCTGATTTCCTCACTTGACGATACTCAAGAAAGAGCTTAAACAATATTGAGTTAACATGAATGTGAGAAAACTTACTCACTATTATATAGCATGAATTCTAATCTATGAAACGTCATAGCAATTTTAAATAAATTAAAAATACAATTCTTGGAAGTTGACAAGATAGTAAAATTACTGTTAGTATCCAGATCACATATGTGCAAGTAAGTTCATTAATATGAAAAATGTCTAAATAATTAAATTTCAAATTAAGAATTCATAGGATTTCTTTTTTTTTATAAAATATATGTATAAAAAATGAATTGACCCTAATATTGTAATCTTGTATTTATATTAAGTAATTATAAACAAATTCATAATTAAGAATTATTTGCTAATTTAAATAGATTATTAAGAATAAGTAATTTATTTGCAACTAGTTATATTATAAAAGAGTAACTTGCAAATTTAATATCACCTCAAAAATTATACACTGGGGTCTCAAAGCTAATGATTTTGAAAATACAATAAGTAGTAAGTAAATTTGTAATATGAATGATCATGTAATAAGAGTGTCTAGAGGCCCCTAATCTATTAAATAACTTATGTATATATATGCAGTTTAATCATCTAGACTGTCACCTATTTTAATAAATAGATTTTTAATGTTAGCATACCTACTAGTAATATTAAAAATAATACGCTTTGAACTCATTCTAAAAAAATAATATATTTATTAAAACTTTTAATATTAATCAGCTAGAAAAAAATAAGCTCCAAATTAGTTTATAAATTTAATCTAATTGTTAAATTATATAGTGCTGACTAATTATCAACTCTCATATGCAAAATTGTGAAAATAAAAAGCCTACTTGCAGATTTAAATATTAATAACTTAATGTAGATGAATAACTAATATTATAGAAGTAGCTTACCAAACGATATTAAAAACCTACTTGAGAACTTAGACGAAAAATTAATAAAAATAAATTTCAAAGCTCTTGTAATACTCTGAAATATTTACTACCTCTTTGTAATTATTGATATGCATAAAGCTATATATTATTAATTTAACAGGTATTTGAATCTGAGACATATGAGGAAAGCTAGTTATTTGTTAAAAATTTGTAACTAGTTTTTTCCTTTATGATACTCACATAGTATATTAATAATCGTGAGATTTACTAGACTAAAAATAACAAATAATATTCATTTCAAAGATCTTAAATTGAATTACTCTTGTAAATATTGAATTCTGTATAACAAAACAAATATCAATTATGTGCTTACCTAGTTTCGATGTTTTTTATTTTACCAAAGTTATTGATATTATTATAGAAAATTACAATATTATCTATAAAATAATGAAACTTTTATACTTACCCAATAATCTTGTTAATAATAATAATAATAATAATAAATAAATAAATAAAATATAGAAAAAAAAAAAAAGAATATATATATATATATATAATTTGTTAAATAGAGTCCTTAAATCTTATTTAGAATTTTGATCTATTGCCAGATGAGAAATATCCTGAAGTAATTTCTTTGTTAATGCATAAAGCTGTATATCATTAATTTAACAGATATTTGAATCTGAGACATATGAGAACTACCAAAGAAAACTAGTCATTTGTTAGAGATTGGTAACTGGTTTTTCTCTTGATGATACTCATATAGTATATTAATAATTGTAAGACTTACTAGACTGAAAATACCAAATAATGTTTATTTAAGATCTTATTTAAACATTAAATCGAATTACTCTTGTGAGTATTAAATCCTGTATAACAAAACAAATATCAATTATGTGTTTATCTGGTTTCAATATTTTTTGATTTTACTAAAGTTATTAGTATTGTTATAGAAAATTACAAGTAATATCGTCTATAAAAATAGTGACTTTTATGCTTACCCAATAAAGTCTTGTTAATAATAATAATAATAAATAAATAAATAAAAAAAAAATCAAAAATATATATATATATTTATATTAAAAGGAAGACAATGGTAATTCATTAAATAAAGTCTTTAAATTCTATTTAGAATTTTGATCTATTGCCAGATGAGAAATATTCTCAACTTTCGAAATAAGCATCTCATCCTCATCTTCATATATCAGTGTAACTTCTTTAATCTTACTTATTGATATTTCAACCCATACATCTAAGAATTAGCCAAATTCTTTCAAAGGAGTTAATTCTAAAATTTTATTATTTTCATTATCCACAGATTTATTAGGTTCTTTACTTAATTCTTCATGACTTATATTTAGTATATTTGGTTCATAGTTATTCTCTGTAATATTTTTATCTTAAAAAATAAGTAGAAATAATTCAGCAGGAGCTAGCCTGCATAAATACTCCCATGCTATAGTAGCTTTTAATTTGTATATATTTAGAGCTTTTTGTAACTAAATAAAAATTTATTTTAAATGAAAAAAGGATACTTTGAATATTCACTAAAGGTAAAATTCACCAGATATGCTATTTTTTGAGAAATCTTTAGTAATTAGTATTTGAAATACTAAATAAAAATTAACCTCTAACTTGAACCTTAACCCTAACCAAAGTCTAATTTTTACTTTAAAACAAAAAAAAATATATCTAATAAAATTTATTTCAGTGATTCTAAATTAATTCATAAAAAAAAAAAATTTATAGCTGATTTTAAATTATTACGATAATATATTCTAGATAGATCAGAATAAAAAAGCTAGATTATTATATATAACTCAAACTATTTGAGATGTCACAAACTATGTATTTCATGATACATAGTTTGGGACATATGTATATATGTATATTATAGTTTGGGTTACTAGCCTTAATATTTTAAAAACAGCTATAAAAAAAAATAAAATAAAATAATATTACAAGTAGTCAATTTCTTCAGTTAGTTTGAATGAAGCTTATGCAGCTCTATAAATGCTCAACAGTAGCAGCATTAATACAGATCCCATATAATCAGCATGTTACTAGTCCTAATTCATTTGTTAAAGGGCCAATAAAATTCCAATAACTTAATATATCACCTTTTTTAAATTGATTAAAAGTACCATCATCAAATAGATAAACTTTTTTAAAAAAATCATTGAATTCACTCAAAATACAAGTAGAATCTTTTCTTGACTAGGCTTTGTAATAATAAATCAAATATTTATCTAATCTTGAATAATTAATTACTGAGGTATCTTTAAAGTATATTAATTGATACTTAGAATGTAGTAAGCATGCTAAAATAAGAAGTAGTTGCTCCTAGCTACTCCATCTTTTCTCTAATCTAGTTAATATTTTCTCAGAAAGTTCTAAATTAATATGATTGTTCCAAAATTGAACTAAATATACAATACTGTGTATAACCTGTATTAATCTTGCATTGTCATATTACAAGATATTTAATATTTTGCAGTATAGATATAGAATTTCTGCAATTATTACTAAATCAGACCAAAATGAATCTAAGTCAATTATTTGAAAAATTTCATAATTAATTGTAAGATTTTCACTAGATTTTCATCAATTTTGAGAATGAAATGGTTGAAAATTTATTGCAAGAATCTAAAATAAAAATATTTAGAAGTTCAAATTTAAAAATAATCTGGCAATCTATTTTTT